GCCACCCTAAGGGGGGCTTCCCTAGGGGGGTGGGGTGTCAGGAACCTGACCTTGGGCAACGTCAGTGACTTTAGTCCCACCTCGGATATGGGAGGAGGCTAGGAGCTCCTTATAAGGGAGAGTGCCACACTTCCTTCAGGCCGATCTTTTGGGATGTTGTGGGCTTTCTGCTTATAGTGGAGTGTCCGATGCGCACCGAAAACGTCCGAGCATATGCCGATGGACCGGGAGCTGGGCCTGGGTTGCTAACACGCGACCTGCTAGTTGAAGCTAGCTACGATAGACACTACACCAAAGACACCGATGTGACTATGTCCAACCTTTTTATTCCTCTCTTCTTTCTATCTCTTTTTCCTTTTCTTTTTTGGTTTTCTTTTTCTTTTTCCTCTTTTCTAATTCGATGATAAAAGTTCACCAGATTTTATGACGTTTTGTAAATCGGTGAACTATTTTCAATATCGATGAACTTTTTGCAAATTTGATGAAACTTTTTCTAATTCGATGAGCTTTTTCCAAATCCGATGAACTCTTCTAAAAAACCGGTGAACTTTTATTCAAATGGATGAACTGTTTTCAAGTTTGATGAATAGTTTTTTCAAATTTGATGAACTTTTTCTTAAAAGTTGTGAACCTAACTTTTTTAAAAACCTATGCACTTTTTTAAAAATCAGTGAACTTTTTAAAAAAATTGATGAACTTTTTTCAAAATCGATGAACATATTTTTTTCAAAAATGGTGAACTTTTTTCAAATTTGTGAACTTGTAAAAAAAGTGATGATTTTTTTCCAAATTCAATGAACCTTTTTGAAATCGATGAACTTTTATTCAAATTCGATGACCTTTTCCAATCAATGAACTTTTTTCCAAATTTTGTGAACTTTTTTCAAATTCGATGAACTTTTTTCAAATTTGATGAACATTTTTTAAAGTCGATGAACTTTTTTCATTTTTTGTGAACTTTTTCCTGAAAATCGTTGACTTTTCAAGTAATTTTCAAATTTAAGTTAACCTTTTATTAAAAGCAAGCTTAATTAGACTGTTTTCTGTTATTAGAAAAGAAAGCGAGTTTGCTCCAGTGGTTTAGTGCGTTAGGATGCAGACGTGAGGTGCTCTCGCGTGAAGCATATTCGTCGCGCTACATAATAGGGCTGGCCAACACTGTATCATGTTTTCCACTAGTTCTATTGTTCGGTTCCATTGCTTTTTTCTTTTTCATTTTATGTTTCTCTTTGGTTTTCTCCTATATTTATCATTTTCTTTAGTTTTCCTATTTTTTCGTTAGTTTTCGTCGTTTATTTTTTTGTTTTAACTAGTCTTCATATTTCTATGTTTATTTGGTTTTCTGTTTTCTGTTTTCTTCTCTCTTTGATTTTTATTTTGTTTTATTTGCTTCTTTCTCGGTTTCTTTCCAACACATGACTACTTTTTCCACACACAAAATGTATATTTTTCATACACGGCAGTAAATATTTTCATACACATTGTATATTTTTCGTATACATCGTGAATATTACTTTTATGCATGTTAAACATGTTTCAAATATGTTATTGGCCATTTTTAGAAAATAGATGCATTGATGTCTACTTTTTTCACACAAATTTTACAAATTTTGTATACGTCAGAACATTTTTTATATATGTTTACATGTTTTCAAATATATGTTTTGGATGTCTACTTTTCTTTCATACACATTGTACATTTTTCGTATACATAAGAAACATACTTCTATACATGTTTGATTTTGTAAAATACATGATTAGCATTTTTTAAATATATATTTTCATGTCTACGTTTTTCATACACATTGTACAATTTTTGTGTACATGTAATTTTTATACACATTTAATATATTTCTAAATACATGGTTAACATTTTTCAAATATTTGTTTTTAGCTTAATTTTTAAATATATTAGACACTTTTTCAATACGTGTTAAGACTTTAAATATCACAAAACATTTTTATAATGCTAACAACATTTTTAAATGATGCTAACAATTGCTTTACACGACATTAACATATTTTGAATTCATGATGTTTAAGAAAATTTAAGTTTTGAAATATCTGTATTTTTAATATTTTACAATAATATTAACAAATGTAAAAAAAGAATGGGTGAACAACGAAAATGAAAGAAATGTTCGACTCGCTACTGGTCGAGTGACTTTGTCCTGGAGTGCAGGGTGTTAACCATGTCGGCCTATAAGTCATGGGCCGGGACGAGGACCCCGAGACAATGAAGAATGGGCCATGTTCATCACGATCCCCAACATAATCGTGGTGGAATCCTCCGAATACTCGGGGTACCCTTCATGATATGTTCAAATCACCGGCAAGCTTATCCCTATATGTAATCGAACTATATGTAACTCTAGGTATCCCTGGTCCCTATATAAGCCGAGGGGTTTAGCCCGTAGGGTTAACTTAGAATTATGCACATACGAACTCGAGGTAGATCATCATGTATACATTGTACTGCATCACAATCAATACAACAAAAGCAGGACGTAGGGTTTTACCTCTTTGAGAGGGTCCGAACCTAGGTAAATATCGTGTCTCTTGTTCGTCCTCTTACTATCTAACCAAGATCACTAGATCAGGACCCTCTTGATGTCGCTTGAAGCTACGTCGGTATTTCCCCAAAGCGGAAAGGATGATGCAACACAGCGGCGGTAGGTATTTTCCTCGGATGTGAAACCAAGGTTATCGAACCAGTAGGAGAACCAAGCAACACAACGTAAACAACACCTGCACATAAATAACAATTTCTCGCAGCCCGACGTGTTAAAGGGGTTGTCAATCCCTTCTGGGGTACGGCGCCTCAAGATAGGCAAACAGACGTGAGGTAAATTTGTACTAGATTGATAGATCGAACGCTAAATAAAATAAATAAGAATAAATTGCAGCAAGATATTTTTGGGTTTTTGGTTTAATAGATCTGAAAATAAACGCAAAGGAAAAGTATATCGCAAAGGAAAATAATATGAGAAAGAGACCCAGGGGCTGTAGGTTTCACTAGTGGCTTCTCTCGAGAAAAATAGCAAACGGTGGATGAACAAATTACTGTTGGGCAATTGATAGAACTTCAAATACTCATGACGATATCCAGGCAATGATCATTACATAGGCATCACGTCCAAGATTAGTAGACCGACTCCTGCCTGCATCTACTACTATTACTCCACATATCGACCGCTATCCAGTATGCATCTAGTGTATTAAGTTCATGGGGAAACGGAGTAATGCAATAAGAACGATGACATGATGTAGACAAGATCTATCTATGTAGAAATAGACCCCATCGTTTTATCCTTAGTAGCAACGATACATACGTGTCGGTTTCCCTTCTGTCACTGGGATCAAGCACCGTAAGATCGAACCCACTACAAAGCACCTCTTCCCATTGCAAGATAAATAGATCAAGTTGGCCAAACAAAACCCAAATATCAGAGAAGAAATACGAGGCTATAAGCAATCATGCATAAAAGAGATCAAAGAAACTCAAATACTTTCATGGATATAAAAAGATAGATCTGATCATAAACTCAAAGTTCATCGTATCCCAACAAACACACCGCAAAAAGAGTTACATCATATGGATCTCCAAGAGACCATTGTATTGAGAATCGAGAGAGAGAGAGAGAGACAGAGAGAGAGAGAGGAAGCCATCTAGCTACTAACTATAGACCCGAAGGTCTACAAAGAACTACTCACGCATCATCAGAGAGGCGCCAATGGAGGTGGTGAACCCCATCCGAGATGGTGTCTAGATTGGATCTGGTGGTTCTGGACTCTGCGGCGGTTGGATCAATATTTCGTTGACTTCCCTAGGGTTTTGGGAATATTGGGGTATTTATAGAGCAAAGAGGCGGTCCGGGGGCACCCGAGGTGGGCACAACCCACCAGGGCACGCCTGGGCCTCCTGGCGCGCCCTGGTGGGTTGTGCTCCCCTCGGGGCACACCCCACGCGCAGCCAGGGCCCATTATGTTCCTTTTGGTCCATAAAAAAGTAAAGTTTCGTGGCATTTGGACTCCATTTGATATTGATATTCTGCGATGTAAAAAACATGAAAAAACCTAGCAACTGGCACTTGGCACTATGTCAATAGGTTAGTACCAAAAAATGATATAAAATGACTATAAAATGATTATAAAACATCCAGATTGATAATATAATAGCATGGAACAATAAAAAATTATAGATACGTTGGAGACGTATCAACATCCCCAAGCATAACTCTTACTCGTCCTCAAGTAGGAAAGTGATAAAAATAGAATTTTTGATGTGGAATGCTGCCTAGTATGTCATATCATATTCTTTTCTTTATAGCACGGACATTTGGAATTTTATATTGTTCAAAGCAATAGTCAGTTTTGACATGATAATTTAAACACTC